CTTTTGTATGAAGAACAGCATATTATCAGTATTTCTTGCTTTATGGAATATACTTTTGTTCGAAATGGATGGACTGTAAAACTTTTGTTCTAATAATCATAACTAAGAGTAAATGAGTCTAGGGCGCCTGGGTGGCTCAGTCGGTTAAGTGACTGCCTTCGGCTCGGGTCATGATCCTGGAGTCCCGGGATCGAGTCCCGCATCGGGCTCCTTGCTCAGCGGGGAGTCTGCTTCTCCCTCTGACCCTCCCCCCTCTCATGTGCTCTCTCTCTCTCTCATTCTCTCCCTCTCAAATAAATAATCTTTAAAAAAAAAAAAAAAGAGAAAATGAGTCTATTTTCCAAATTTTTTAAATGGCCATTAAGGGTTCTCCATCTTCCTCTGGAGTAGTCAAACCTTGCTGGGAAGCCATCTCCTAGAGCTGCTTAGAATTAATGAGCTGAGGCTCTCTTGTTGAACTGTGTGATTCCACCCCAGCCTCCCCGGGATAGTTAGTTCATGAGCAATGTAATTTGCTTTCACTGTGGAAGGGATTCCTATAGTGTTCTCATTCATGAAAATAAACTGGTCCAAGAGAAAGACTTTTACAAAGAATGTTTTGCTCTGACATAATCTCTTGTAAAACAGAAAATCACTTTATATAAAAGTTCAATTAGGACCAAATACAGTATAAATGGCCTCTGTAACAATTAGAATTTAAATATAGAAAAGTTGAATATTACACTATTTTCTACTGACTTTCCTGGTTCTATGCCAAACATGTCTTGGCTGCAATAGAAGAATGAGGAGGCTTTTATATTTTTGGGGAGAAAAGTAACTATGGTGGGGGCTTTTCTAGAAGGGTGTAGTTGCAATCTGGTACTTTGCAGAAATCGTGGAAAATGAATAAAGTTCTTTTTTTTAATTAAAAAAAAATTTTTATTATGTTATGTTAATCACATTATATCATTAGTTTTTGATGCAGTGGAATGAAGTCCTTTTATAATTATAGCTCTATATGTAGGATCTGGGACCTTTATAATAAATATATCCCTATATAAACCCAACCCCTGCCAATGTGACCTACTATTTATTTAGCAGCAACAGTGAACGATATGGTTTTGTTCAAAGTTGGAAGTTTGAAGAACAGATTTTATGCCCAGGAAAAAAAATCTATTTTGAAGGTAAGGAGGGAAAAAAAAGATAAGCTTTTTTACTTAAACAGAAGGAAAAAAACCAATCATAACTATTTCAAAACCTTTTCAACCCACTCAACATGAATTAAGAAAGAATACTAAATGGAAGAAAACTAGTAAGCTGCCATATTAGTCTGAGAAGTCCAACAGGTGTTTATTATTAAGCAAGAATTACAGGGCGCCTGGGTGGCTCAGTTGGTTAAGCGACTGCCTTCGGCTCAGGTCATGATCCTGGAGTCCCGGGATCGAGTCCCACATCCCTGCTCAGCAGGGAGTCTGCTTCTCCCTCTGACCCTCTACCCTCTCGTGCTCTCTATCTCTCATTCTCTCTCTCTTAAATAAATAAAAAAATCTTTAAAAAAAAAGAATTACAGAAATAATAATAGTAAAATCTTTACATATTACAGAAGCCCAAACAAATAAACAAAAATAAAAAACAAAAAACTACAAATAAAGAGAGATTTCAACTTTAAGAATCTGGTATGGCAGTTGCTTTTCTCAAAAGGACTGAAACAGTTTTGACCCCAGCTGCTACTTATTTTATCTAACAATAGACCGTTTAAAGACGTCCCACTTCTGGCTAAGCTATTCATTTCAATCTAAACTGCATCTAGCTTAAGCCTCAGAAGATAACTTTATCACCTCCAAGCCCTATGCAGACTAAACACAACACTTGTGCCCGATTCTGAATGGTATCTTATATCCAAATGCTCCCTTAATTATAGCTCCTGCTTCTCAAGCTGCTTTTTCAACTTGTCAGAAGCTGCCTAAAGTAACTAAAATTGGATTCTCGCAGAAAAAATGTATTTTAGGAAAACATGTGCAACAAGCACCTACGCATCTGTTAACATTAAAACCAGAAGGCAGTATGTTGCAGCCACCTAAGAACAAGCTGTAAAATTTAATAATTCACAACATTCACTTTGAAATCTTATGGCAGTCTTTTAAAGCAATGCTTCACAACGGCACAATCATTTCATCTGTTTGACAAACCTTTATTGTGTGTCTATATGCTAGGCCCTCCCTATGCTTGGTGCAGAGGATATAATGATTAGCAAAATAGACACATAAAGCTCTACAGGTCTGTTTGATTTCTAAGGCTGAAAAGCAAAGAGAAAATAAGGTCAGCCTGGTTTTTCCATTAGAGACAGCCATCCCCCCACCACCCTACCTCAACTGTGAAGGGGTTGAGGCCCACAAGTTTTTGTAAAAGTCATCCGTAATATTTATGGGGAACCGCCTCCTGGAGTCCCAGTGCCAGTAGGGGTAGATCCTCAGCTGAGTCTCTTTAACAAATGTTGCCAAACTCCTGTAGTTTCCTAAAATCTGATGGCTATTTGTAATAATATTGCTCCTAGAAAATGCTTTCTGGGTTTTACAAGGAGTCACTGCCATGAGCCAAGTACTTCCCAGTGCAGCCTAAGTGGTGAACTCTTTGGGTTCTAAGCTGATAATGCCTACGGACCGGAGAGCCAGGATCTCAGATGAGAACCAAGATAAAGAAGTGCGAAAACACCAGGCAATAGAAGTGAGGATTACAAACGAGCTCAAACTTCCCCCAATCCTTTTTTCTCTTCTCTTCATTGAGCAGAAAAATATGGGATAAGAAATGGGAGGGTGTCCTGGGTTTAATCAGGTTAGGACTACTGGTAACAATGGATGGGGTTAGAAGAAATAGAATAGTTTCCAAGGATGTATAGGGAAAGGAAGAAAATTCACCAATAGTGACAAAAGGGGAAGGAAGGCCTGTGGAAGTGGCAGAAATGAGTCACCAGCCAGAGTGAACATTTATAGGCAATGTATATTGGCAGGAGAGTCACTAAAAAACTGGGCACCTCTGAGGGCACACTAGAGTCATCCATTCATAATATTAGCAACCACTGACTGTTCCTTGGATATGGGGAACATGGTACGCACTGGAAGAATCGGCATAAAGGGGAAAAAATGACTCCTACACTGTTGCAGTATCTGCAATGCCCGGCAAATTGTAGTGTTACACACAAATGCTAGTTATTAATCATTTATTCTTATTACAGAGAAGGAAGCTGTGCTCCAGACAGATTGAATGACGTGACCAAAGCCATACAGTTCTAATTAGTGGTATGGGAGGCAAAGACTCAGGCAATAAACTTTAACGTATGTGACTAGGCATGTGTCAAAGCCATAAACATGGGATCTGCAGGGAGCCATGCAAAGCCAAGACTGAAGCAAGCAGGGAAAGGAAGAAAAGAAGACAGACTCCGTCCCCACCCCCACCCCCACATATCAGAAGGGAATTGCCTCATGCACTCTGGAGAATGAAACCACTGGAAATTACTTATCACATATGACAAAGCTACCAGGGAAAACAAAACAAAACAAAAAAACCCAATAGTTTTCAGTGATAAACTACCCTGAGCCATATTTATTAGACAGAAATGTCAGTCTTTTTCAGTCATTCTTATAAAACAAATTAGCATGTCACGTTAAGAGCACACAGAAATAACAGGTTTAGATTTTATTTTTATCACAATTATAATTTTGGAGTAACCCAAGAAAAGACTACCCAGATATGACTAAATGAACAACACATTTACTCTATATCAGTGCAGGAAGGGAAAAAGGCCTTTTGTATGAACTCTATTGAGTGGTTGTTGTTGGCTACTTAGGAAATCACTGATTCTCTAAGCCTCCTTGAAAATTATCTAGAAAATTATCTTTGTTGCTCTATAAAAAGTCTTCAACAATGGAACTTCATATGAACACATGTGAAATAAATATTAATGCAATATTTAATAAAGAGGATAATTTTGAAAACAAAAAAACACCCAAAGTACTTCATAAACCTTTTACCAATGAGCTTTAAGATGTACACTGATATAACCTCTAACTAAAATTTGAAACTAGAAACATCGTCTTAGATCCTTAGACTCGGTGAGCTTTGCAGGGACTATGCTCTCCCCAGCACGCTCAAGTCTCTTTTCTTTGACCATTTCTCCTCCTTCTCATCCTCCTGCTGCTCACACAGATACCCTTACTGCCTTTTCCTTGCCTCTCCAAATCTGATCTCAAGACAAATTGGGAAACATCCTTACAACGGTGTACAGGATTCATGAAACTTGAAAGGAGGTATATATACCCCCTTGTATTTTTTGAATTAGACTTTATTTTTTTAGAGGAGTTTTATTTTTTGTTTTATTTTTAAGTAGGTTCCACACCCAGTGTGGAGCCCAATGTGGGGCTTGAACTCACGACCCTGAGATCAAGACCTGAGCTGAGATCCAGAGTTGGACGCTTGACTGACGGAGCCACCCAGGCACCCCTTTTAGAGCAGTTTTAGGCTCATGGAAAAACTGAGTGGAACGCATATCACATACCCGCCTCCCCCACCCCTTGTGTCTTAACAGATACCAAATACTAAATCAAAAGTAAGAATTCTTTATCTGGGGTCTAGGGAATCCAGAGATGGTCTTCATGGAGTCCTTGATCGCCCAGATATTATATCCTGAATTTTGGTATACGGATGTATATACATTTTTTTGGAAGCAAGTCTCATTAGGTTCTGAAGCAGTTGGCATTCAAAAATGGTTAAGGCCTCTAAGCTAAAGAATGAAGTTCAAGGTCCAGACATGAGGTAGAGAGACTAAAGGAACTATTTTGGGGTCAGAAAGGCTTTACCAACGTCCCTAAACACATACCACGCAGGTAGCTGCCAGAGCAAGTATCAATATGTATACCCAGGCCTCAAACTTCAACAGGAGCTACAGAAACATCCAGGTTAAAGAAATTACAACCAATGAAATAACTTTCAAAACATCCAATGACCTCTTTTTTTCTTTAACACACCTTTAAAGCCTCTATCACGAGGTCCCTTGCTTCAAGCTCTCCTTCAAGAATACTGAATAGTGTTAGGAGTTCAGGCTTGCTGAGTTTTTCCAGATTCATCCTGAAAGCCTAAAACAAAGACAACGATCAGACAATCTCCAGAAGACAGAGTGAGTCTGATATTACTAAAGAAAAAAATAAATTGAGTCAGACAAGAAAAGAGCAACAATTACAGTAAAAAAATGCTTTAAGATGGCAAACTGTACAATTAAGTAGAAAAAATAAGAGCTTTCTGATGTTAATCATAAACTGAGCAGTAAGAGAAAATAAAATTCACCTTAATTATGGATTTCATCACTACTCACAAAGATCAATTTTCCATCATTTTTTTCCTCCAGGCATATTTACGAACATCCTGGGAGGTCTCAGAAAGAATTAGTCATGAGTTTAGTTCACTAGAAGCGCAGGTAAAATTGTGTTACCGTGAATACTATTTCACCAGAAAATCGTGAGATCATGAAAAGATTTCCCAGTTTTAGAGAACCAAATTCCTAAAGTGTATATAAAACATTCTGGCATCCCTCCAAAGTTGGCGGAAACGAAATTTGGGCAAGGACAATGTCCAGTGGCAGTATGGGAGACATTTTTCTTTTAAACCATCTACTTTCTCATGATAGGTGTTCTCTGTGAAACAGTTTAAAAGGAAAAACACCTATCATGGTATTTATATTTCATATAGTAAAATAAGACTTCAATGCAACCATCATACAAATATACTTTTAAATAATTTCTTAAAATATACTGTCCTTATTAAAAATCTTAATTGGACAGATCACTACACACTGAATTTATCTGACTCAGCAACTTCACGTTTCTGAGAAGTCTTACATCTTTTGAAAAATGTTAAATGGCAAACTGCATAGCACAAACTCAGTCCTTTCCACAAGATTAATTTCTCAAAAACTACACAGAGACAGAAGTTAGACTGCCACACAATTTTCCAAGGGTCTTCTGACCAGGGTTATGGTAAGATACATTTTATAACTTCCGAGACTAAGCAAATACTACTTTCCTTCTCCCCCTTTTTACTTCCAAATTGTCACTCTCATACAGTTTCCTTTAAAGTGAATTACAACATGACGAGTTCACACACCCTCCAGTAATTCCCAACTCTTATGAGCACATTAAATTTTAGGAGGCACACAAAAGAGTCATTGATTCCTTCCAGAGCTACTGCCTCTAAGTGAGGGAGAGCATGTAGAAAAGGCGTACTTCACTGTTGTTAGATTGTGTTCCAAGACATGCTGTATGAATCCTTTGCCATATGGCAAAATATGTTCCATCTAACTTCAGCTCTGCTAACTTTCTAACCACCGAGTTTTAGCAGCTGGTAAGTGATGCTCACTTCTGGATTACAGAAGACCTCTCACAACAGGTATTTTAAAAATAACTAAAAAAAACAAAAACAAAACCCCACAAACCTAATAAAGCCACACACTTAATTTAAGATGGTATGTTGGAAAGAGCGTGTGGCTTTGCAGTCAGATGCCAGGTCTGCATCATCTTAGTTGCATGATTCAGGGCAAGTTTTCTGATTCTCTGTTTTCTTATCTGTGAAAGGGGGATGATAATATCTAACTCATAGGGTTGCTGTGAAGATTGGGTTAATAAATGTAAAACATCTTGCCAAATTCCTGATACAAGCTAAACAATGGTTTAATTATTAGTAACTACTAACCTCTCTCACTTTCCACAAGAATTCTAAGGAAGGCATTATCAAAACTGGGGACAGCCAAGATCTGACCTCAGAAATACCTTCAAGCTGCCCTTTTGTGGTTGGGAAACATAAATGAAGAGGGGTGATAGCATCCTGGAGTGAAGAATGGTGAGGAATTTAAGCCATCAGTTGAGTCACACTGATTTCTTAGATGAAACCTTTCCCCTTCTTCCTGATGGTTTCATGGTTTAATCTCACAGAAATTAAAAAGCAGAGGAAAAATCCTATCATTTTATGCCCATCCCCTTCCCTCCCACGATGTTAAGCAGAATAATGGGCAGTCGTAAAGGTACTCTGCAAATACCAACTACACTGAGTAAATGGACTGGATGCAGAAGCACCAAAGTAATAATGGTAGTGTTCACACGTATTCTTCTTTTTTTCTTTCAATATCTTTGTAGTCTTTCAGTACTCTTATTTAACTGAAGGAAGCAGTGCCATGTGAGGAAAAGCGTAACAGACTGGGAGTGAGGAGTGCAGAATTTAAATGAGGTCTGCCACTAAGCAGCTCTATGGCCTTGGGGAAAAAAGTTACCCAGTTGCTCTGGCACTGAGTTTCCTCACAGGTAAAATCAGACAGACTAGTCAATCTCCAAAGTCCTTCTTTTTTCCATTCTAAGCTTTCATGGGTAAAAACCAAGAATTAATTGTTAGAGGGGCAACTGGGTGGCTCAGTTGTTAAGCGTCTGCCTTCGGTTCAGGTTTTGATGCCGGGGTCCTCGGATTGAGCCCTGCATCGGGCTCCCTGCTCAGCGGGAAGCCTGCTTCTCCCTCTTCCACTCCCCCTGCTTGTGTTCCTGCTCTCGCTGTGTCTCTCTCTGTCAAATAAATAAATAAAATCTTAAAAAAAAAAAAAGAATTGTTAAAGAATCCCATGAAATAAGAATAAAGTGAATATACAACGAACTAAAAACAGACTGTACCTAAATCAAAATCTTGGATCTGTTGTGATTAATACACATCCTCATAAAAGAGAAAAATTGAAACAATCTTCAGAGTCACTTTAATTATAAAGGAGTCCAGCCTAGGCAAGAAAAAATTCCATTCTATGTCAATGGCATAAAGCACTATAGTCTTGTGATCTACATTTGTAGATCGCTTCTGCGCACAAATTTTAATATCTGGAACATTCTGCCAATATGTACCCACTCGTCCAGCTGAGTGTCTACATGAAGTGAATACAATACAAATATGACAGAGGAGGAAAAAAAGGGTCACAGCTGTGTAACTGAAAAACCAATATGTCTGTTTTCACATATTCCCATAACCTTTCTTTAGAAATACTAAAATTCAGCAGTTCTTTGCTGTCCTTTATATTTGAATCCAATCTCAATACAAAAGATATTGCAATAAATTTAATATAAATGAAAGACCATAAGACTGCATTATGTTTTAGGTGATAGCAATATTCCTGAGAGTGGGGGTAGGGGTGGGGGTGGGGGTGATACTGACCTGATAATTGGCAGTCACACTTTCGTCCTTGAGTATAAATTCTTAAGGTCTTCTTCAGTTAAAATTTGGGAAAATTGACAAATATATTTAAAATGCCATCAGCATGGTGGGAAAGTAAGTGTCCAATGCTGCAAAATAATAGGAAATTTATTGTCTATGTGACCATACTATAAACGATTTGATAAATCCCATGAATGTCAACTGTCATTACAGCTGATAAGGCCTGACAGGTGTGGGTTGACACAGACAAGAAAAAAAACAGCTACTTCTTCAAGTTGAAGCTGAGTAATATAGCAAAAGTACCATGCATCTGACTTCCCTTTTGCAATTACGCTTAGGGAAGGTGAGGGCTTTCAAAATCATTTTTACTTTAAGATGTCCACTGCCATTTCAAGGACTAACTTATGAGAGTCCTGGAAGAGAAATGACTTTGTCTCCCTGAATTGACAAAAGCCTATTTGCTTAAATCACCATGACTGACCCACAATACACTCAGATGGGAAAATAACATAATTACAAACGAACTTTTCAAACTGCTAAATTTTGTAAGGTACGCGCTTACCCCCTCACCTCCTACCAGTTAATGAACAAATAAATCAACCTGTCATCACCTGGACTTTGTCTGTAAGGCTAATTACTCATCCCAGCTCCTACCTTTCCCCAAATATATTAAATGTTGAATTATATGCAAATTCTGTGTTTATGTTTTCCTAATAGTATATCAGACCCAGCAAACTTTTTTTTTTTTTAAAGATTTTATTCATTTGACAGAGAGAGACAGCGAGAGAGGGAATACAAGCAGGGGGAGTGGGAGAGGGAGAAGCAGGCCTCCCGCTGAGCAGGGAGCCTGATGTGGGGCTCAATACCAGGACCCTGGGATCACGACCTGAGCCGAAAGCAAACGCTTAACGACTGAGCCACCCAGGCGCCCCTAAGACCCAGCAAACTTTTAAAAAAATGATAGGCTTTAAATTTTATGTGAGGAAACATAACTTTTGTACTTTAAGGCAACAACTCTTAAACTTGACTCCCATTTTTGCCTAATATATAAATGATGTGGCCCAAGATACTTGGAAAAAGGCTGTTGCTGATTCCATATTAATTGTCAGAAACATGACTGCCAGATTTTTGGCATGCCGTATCGTAGTCTACAGAATCATTCTCTACTTGCTTTCTAAATGAGCTGTTACTTGTCACTGTCATCATCCATTAAGTAACTCTGAAAGA